AAACCCATAAATGCAGCAAATGCAATTAAAATACGAATTGCTTCTAATCTAGCTACAGGAGCAAAAGTCTCCTCAAAATCGATACCTTCCTGCTGATTGTAGCCTTTAACAACCAATCTTGCCTTGTTCCTTACAATTGTGCCATGTTCATCTAGCTTATTCCTGTATACCCATTTGAGACCAATAACCTTTTGATTCTTTGGTTTAGGTTCAAGGTGCCACACTTTGTTTCTTTCGAATTCATTTAATTCCTCTTGCATGGCAACAATCCAATCAGCATCTTCCAAAGCTTCTTTGTGATTTCGAGGTTCCAGTGTTGATAGGAAGGCATTGAATGCACAAAAATTTTTCAGTTGGGATCTCGTCTGAGTTCCCTTGCTTAGGTCACTTATAATTTTATCCAGGGGGTGTGACCTTTGATGTTTCCATGGCTTTGGTTGGAATGATTGAGCTGGTATAAAAGTGTTATTTTGAGTTGCTCTTTCTTCCATTTCTTCATGGTGTTCTGCTTCTGCATTTGCTTCGCCTTCTGTATTTTCTGTTTCTTCTGTATTTTGATCAGAGGCTTCAGTATTGTTTGGAACTTCAGTAGGTTCCTTATCAGCATTTTCAGTAATTCGAACAGGCTGCTTTTTGGGAGTTAATTCTTCATCTTGGTCTGTTGAACGAGTGAGACCAATTTCGAAATCTCCATCTTCATATTCCTGTACACATTCATAATTATTAGTTTCATCAAAAATCACATGTATACTTTCTTCTACACACATAGTCCTCTTATTGTAAACTCTATAAGCTTTACTATTAGATGCATATCCTAAAAAGACTGCTTCATCACTCCTTTCATCAAATTTTCCAAGATTTCTTTTATCATTATTGTGAACAAAACACTTGCATCCAAAAGCTCTTAAATGAGCAATATTAGGTTTTCTCCCTTTTAACAATTCATAAGGTGTCTTGTCCAACATTGGTCTGAGCATGGCTCGGTTGACGATATAGCATGCTGTGTTGACGGCTTCTGCCCAAAAATTCCTTGGAAGCCCACTTGCTATTAGCATTGTTCTTGCCATGTCTTCCAATGTTCGGTTCTTCCTCTCAACCACACCATTTTGTTGTGGTGTTCTTGGCGCTGAGAAATTGTGACTTATTCCCTGTTCTCTGCAAAATTCATCAAACTTGGAATTTTCGAATTCCGTACCATGGTCAGTTCTCATATGAATAAGTTGATTACCTATTGATTTTTGTGTCTTTTTCAAGAAAGTCATAAACATATCAAAAGTTTCATCTTTACTATGTAAGAATATGACCCATGTAAATCTAGAATAATCATCCACAAGAACTAAGACATATCTTTTTCCACTTCTACTTTGAATTCTAACGGGGCCACACAAATCCATATGAATGAGTTCCAATGGTTTTGTGGTGCTTACCATTTTCTTTGATTTAAATGATGATCGAACATGCTTTCCTTTGATGCAGGCTTCACAAACTTTGTCATTTAGGAATTTGATAGAAGGTAATCCGATTACCAAGTCCTTTGACCTTAATTTGTCAAGCAATGAAAGACTAGCATGTCCAAAACGTTTATGCCATAGAAGTGGATCATCCTCAATAACACTTAAACAAGATAGATTGTATTTTGGAACTTTGTTAAGGTCCACGGTATATGTGTTCCCTTTACGAGTTCCTTCCAAAACGATTTTACCAGTGTTATTGTTGATGATTTTGCATTTTTCAGAAGAAAAGCTTACAGAGTTTCCTTTATCACAAAACTGAGAAATACTGAGTAGATTATGCTTCAAACCCTTGACTAAAAATACATTGTCAATTGCATGGGAACTTGACCTTCCTACTTTGCCAACAGCAACAATGTTGCCTTTCTTATTGTCTCCAAAGGTCACTGTTCCCCCTGTATAGGCCGTCAGTGAGAGAAATCTGGATTCATCTCCTGTCATGTGCTTAGAACAACCGCTATCGAGGTACCACTGGTTGTTCCCCCTCACTGCGACCTGCAAAAGAAATTAAGGGTTAGTAGCAGGAACCCTTTCATTCATGGGTTCCTGTGTTGACACATTTAAATCAGATTTCTTCTGCCAAACATAGTTCACATTCTTATTGTACAGATTTGCTTTCTTAGTACATTCTTCACTGCGATGTTCCTTTTTACCACAAAAAGAACAAACGGTCTCACTAGGTAAGTTCACATATTTCTTTTTCTTTCCAGTGGACTTCTTCTTATGAACATAGCCTAGACCTTCTGTTCTTTTTGTCTGAGCTTCCTTTACCCACTTGGGAACACCCGTGCTTGCTGTATTTTTACTTTTTCTTGCAATTTCTAGGTCCTTTTCTAGTTTCTCATTTTTATCATTGGTTTCCTTTATCTCTTTCTTAACATGCTCTAGTTCATTATTAAACATGATTAAAGGAACTTCAGTAGACCTGCAAGAATCAATGTTAGTACACAACATTTTATATTGAGTCAATTCAATATTCAGCATGATATTCTCACTCTTGACTCTTTCAAGGGATTCTTTTAGCATAATATTTTTATCTAACAATTCAAAGAATCTGCCTTGAACATCATTTCTTAAGCTATTCAGATACTTAACATGATCTCTACAAATTCCAGTTGCCTTTTCGGCTTGCCTTAGTTTTGCACATAATTCTTTATATTCATCTAAGGTTTCTAACAATAAAGAGATTAATTTATCCTTTGAGAGAGATTTCAAATAACTAGGTTGAATGACTACCTCATCATCATGCTTTGCCATTAGACAGAGATTGGCTACTTCATCGTCTGTGTGTTCCTGTTCCTCTTCTTCGGAACTCGATTCTCCCCACGTTGAAATCATTGCTTTCCTGAAATTTGTTTTAGAAAAGTTAGGCTTGGAATTTCTGCTTTGATCAGTTTCTTTTCCCTTGCCTTTCTCAGATTCCCATAATGGACACTCTTTGATGAAGTGGTTGGTGCTTCCACATTTGTGACAAGAAGACTTGGCTTTGGGTTCCTGATTTCTTTTACTGTATCCTTTCTTCTTGTCTAAAAACTTGTTGTTACGGTAGAATTTTTTCAGCCTTCTCACCAACATTGCAGCTTCTTCTTCATCGATGTCAGACTTCTCTTCGGATTCTTCATTAGCTCTTAATGCTAGCCCTTGACTTTTGACAGTCTCCTGAGTCCGATTGTTCGACTGGATCTCGTGAGTAATGAGGGAACCCGCAAGCTGTTCCAGATTGAACTTGGTGAAGTCTTTTGATTCTTGCACCGCTGCGACCTTTGCTCTCCATCTGTCATTGTCTGGAAGACTTCTTAAGACTTTTCTGACCTGCTCATCTATAGGAATTATCTTGCCAAGACACGTTAGTTCGTTAGTAATACTTTTAAATCGAGTAAACATGTCTTTAATGGATTCTTTGTTTCCCATTTCAAAGCGCTCATACTGAGACAAAAGAATGTCTATTTTGGAACGTTTAACATCTGACGTTCCTTCATGTGTAACTTCCAGAAGATCCCAAATTTCCTTTGCGGACTTGCACCCTTTGACACGAGTATGTTCATCGGGTCCAAGTCCCCAAATTAAAAATTTTTTGGCAGTAGCATTCATTTCAAGTTTTTCAAAATCAGTTTTTTCATACTCATCCATAGGTTTAGGGATTACCTCATTATTAGCATTCGTTTTCGTAATTTCGTAATCTCCTACTTGTATAATCCGCCATACCTGATAATTCTCTGCTTGGATAAAGATTTCCATCTTATCCTTCCAATAAGGATAAAATTTGCCGTTGAAGTATGGAGGCCTTTGAATGGATGTACTCCCGAATTCCTTTTCCTCTGTGTAAGCCATTTTCCAGGAACTTACTCAACAGGGTTGCCTGCGTGTTCTGAGTTCCCGCTCTGATACCAACTGAAAGTCTAACTGGCTAATACAAGAGGGGGGGTGAATTGTATTTGAGGTGAAATCTAAAAACTTTTTGCGGAATTTAACTAAATGAAATAATGACGAGAGAAGATATAGGCTTTTCTAAATTTCCACTATGTAATCAAACTCTGTACAAGTGAAGATTCAAACCCGTTAACAAGTTCCCCAAATTAGGAACTAGTTCCCAACTCTCACAGAAGACTTCAGCAACGAAGCTTCCTTAACCTCACCTTACAAACTCACAATCCCAACCCCAAAGTACTTGAATACAATATGTGATTACAAATACCTATTGCACTCAAGAATATATGAAGGAAAATAACTCTCTTTATGTTATTAGATGGCTACTGGAATTTTTATGCTTAAGAGTTATGTTTTTCTGAGATAGTTTGCACGAGTATTTATAGAGAAGGCTTAGTCATTAACCTCCACTATAATCACGTCCACATGCCAACAACCCACTAACAACTTGTGGAGTTATCTTGACAGATGGTAATCATGAAGAGGTTTCCTAGCCTTATCTAATTAGTCCACTATCTTAATCAACTTGATAATTATTAGCCGTATAAAGATTTTCACACAGAAAAACCGCTTGCTATCTTTATCAAATATTTGTTTAAAAAGATTATCAAAAGTTTGTTTAAAAAGATTTTATTTGAAAAGATAAATTTATTATTTATTAAAACAACTAGATAATTATCTTCGATAATTATCTTTATTAAAACTTTTACAAATTATCTTTTCTTTAAGAAATTATCTTTTAAAACTAACTTTTATTCCAGTAGTCTTTTTAACATAAGTCATTGAGTTCCTTTCCGACTTTATAATATTGAGTGCTCACAATTAAAACTAGAACGAGAGATTTGCACGAGGCTTTTTAGAGAATGCTACTCCGCATCCAAGTTCCTACTCCGGAACGAACTTTGCTTGAATCCTTTATTCACCAAAGACTCAAAACATTCATTAGTCGAGTTTGTCAATTTGTCCATCAAAACCAAAAGGCTCAACATAGTCCTTAAATAAAAGTAAGCATTACTGCATTAACTTACGCATGTTTCTTGTTTTTCTCTGTATATTATACAGGGGCAAAAACATTTCCAAATGCAGCCTTTGGTTTGGTCCATGTTAAGGATGTGGCAACTGCACATATCTTAGCATTTGAGATCCCTTCAGCTTCTGGGAGGTATCTTTTGGTCGAAACTGTTGCTCATTATTCCGAGATCGTGAGGATTTTGCAAGAACTCTACCCCTCACTCTCACTTCCGGATAAGTGAGTTTCTTTCCACTTTTCATAGATATCTACCTACTTTCAAGTTCTAAATTTCATCTGCTATCCTGAACTCTTGGTGGACGTTTTTTCAGGTGTGCAGATGACAAGCCTTTTGCACCAACATACCAGGTTTCCAAAGAGAAAGTAAAAAGTTTGGGCATAGACTATACTCCCTTTAAAGAAACTCTTAAAGGGACGGTTGAAAACTTGAAGGAAAAGGGCTTTGCAAGATTTGATTCTCAGTAGGGGGTTAACTCATTACACTGTACTGAAAACCATTATTTGATCATAATTCTATGGCTCCGTTTGGTTTGAAGTAAAACATTTTCAATGAAAAATGATTTTTCATGAAAACCATATATTCTAGAAAAACCACAATGGCAATTTTTTTTTTTTTTTTCCTTTGTTTGCTTACAAGAAAGGTTATAAAAAAAAATTGAAATATGAGTAAAAAGTTGATGGATGGAAGAAAAGTAAAAAGGAGGTAAGGAGGGAGGAAAATGTGGCTTTCCATCGTTTTTAAAGGAAGTCGTTTTCCACCCTTGGGAAAATTGTTTTCCATCCCTTCAAAAACCTAACAAAGTAAAATAAGGGAAAAATCATTTTTCATGAAAATAGTTTACATCAAACCAAACACACCCTAAGAGGTGAATTTATGTCTTAATCTGAGTGTATAACATTGGTTTGTAGTGTTACATTCTGTTTGTTTCAAAATAAATGTTGTACCCAATTTGACCAGCACATTTACCAGCTAGGAACTTTGAGCCATTATAATTCCATGCATTTTCTTACTTCTTCTTTAATAAAATCCACACAGTCAAACAATGTGCACCTGGATGCACAGTCTTATTTGCAACATATTACATCATCTCTTACTACATACTTCATAGTTCTCATTAAATAAAGTAATAGCAATATGAATAAACTATGTTATGTGTCTAATTTTACTTTTACCAGCAATATCAATTACACTTTGCTTATTATTCTCAATTAGTGTTGTCAATTTTGATTAGTTCAAATAAATTGCTTTTACCTGCTACTTAATTACCTTATAAATATCAGTTCTTGAGAATTCAGAATTCAAATAGCGAATTCAGGATTCAAAGAGCAATATGAGTGGACACGGGCAGGTCGTGTGTGTAACAGGAGCAACTGGCTTCATTGCTTCATGGATTGTTAAACTCTTGCTTCATCGTGGTTACACTGTCCATGCCACTGTTCGTGACCCAAGTAATTCTTTTTTTCACTAGAAATTTTACATGGGGTGCACTTCAATTGTTGAAATTGGATCAATCTTTTAGGGAAACAACCAATGGATATACAGAATAAGGGTTCTATCTCTTTTAGGGATATGATCAGAGGAGAGGCCTCGAATTCTAAGGATCAACAAACTGCTGCAATTGTAGATCTTGATGATGAATTTGAGGATGAGTTAGAGGAGGATTCAGATGATGAAGTAATTCCTGAGGAAATTCTGAATGATGAAAGATGTCCTGTGATAAGCTTATCGAAAGAAGAAAAATCCAGGTTGAGGCAACCATGGAAGACGTCTTTGATCATAAAGCTTTTCAGTGGTAAGATAGGGTATATGGGACTAATGAGACGATTGAAGAAGAAATGGAACATCAAGGGTGAATTGGCACTAACAGACATAGGTTGTAACTACTACATAGCAAGATTCACAAACAAAGCAGACTACAACTATGTTTTGACTCAGGGGCCATGGTTACTTGATGATAATTATCTCACTATAAGGAAATGGGCGCCAAATTTTATTCCTGATGAAGCCCCAATTAAAGTTCTCACGGCTTGGGTCGCATCCCGAATTTACCAAAACTACTGCTCAAGCAGAGCGGGGGCAATTCACAAGGATTAGTGTGGAAATTGATCTGTCAAAGCCATTGTTATCCAAGTTCTGGTTAAAAGGGAGGATCTGGAGAGTTCAATACGAGGGCATTCGAATGATCTGTTTCAAGTGTGGCAAGCTCGGACACGCAGAGGTTGATTGTCCTTCAGCTCAAGGGGAAACTCAAGCTAATGCTATGACGGTCCATGAGAACCCCATGCATAATCATAACTCGAAACCAGAGGAATCAGAGAATTTCGGGTCATGGATGATGGTTCAAAAACCGGGTCGAAAGAGAAACACTAAAGTTGATAAAAATCCTGTTATGGGAGTCAAAGTCAATCAAGGAGGTGCGAAAATCTGGGGGAAAATTCTGAAGCCAATCTGGAAAGAAACAAGTTGAGCGTGAATGCAGCCCTTAATAAGGGCTCGAGTTCAAGGTTTACATTATTGGAAGATCAAGTTGAGGATATAGAGGAGGGTAATAAGGAAAAGAATATGGAAGGAGATGATATGGTTCATGATAACCTGCCAAAGGATGGATTTGTTCCTATCTTTAAGGGGAATAATATCTCTTCTTCCCAAAATCATTCAAAAGCTAAGAAAATCCCCACCAAAATATATCAAGAAAAGAAAATAATAATCTCCCCCTTAGAGAAATTAAAGATAATAATAATATCTTTAACAAAAATAAGCCCTTGTCACACGTAGGAAAGGAGAATTTTCCATTGTCCCTTGAAGCCATCTCAGTAGCCAACACCCAAGCCAATCATCAAGCAAAACCAGTCAGCCAGTGAAGTACACACTCAAGTAGTGTTTGAGCTCGATGAAATCTTGAACAGAGAAGAAACTCTTTGGTACCAGAAGTCTCGAATCACTTGGCTTCAAGACGGGGATAGAAATACGACTTTCTTCCACCTAAGCACGGTTGTTCGTAGGTGGAAAAATAAAGTTGTATCTTTGAAAGATAATGAAGGAAGGTGGGTACATGACAAAGGTGAAGTGCAAAATATCGTGGTAGAATACTTCTCAAAACTCTTTACTGAGGAAGGGGATCGAAACCATGGACAATGGGATATTCCTCAAGACATATTCCCTGAATTGTCCAACTCTGATTGGAGCTTGCTGACAAAGTATTACTCGAAGTTTGAAGTGGATGAAGTGATTAAGGAAATGGCAGCGCAGAAGGTGCCTGGTCCCGACGGTTTTCAGGTTATTTTTTACCAAAAAAACTGGGAGTTGGTAGCCAACAATGTGTATGATATAATTCTACCGATTCTTGAGGGTAAGGCTTCTTCGGAGAATTTAAATAACACATTCATTGCTTTGATCCCGAAGATTGATCAACCGGAGCAAGCTTCTCAATTTCGACCAATAGGACTATGTAATGTTGCCTACAAGATCATTACTAAAGTCCTAGTAAATCGTATCAAGATGGTTCTCCCTCACCTTATTTCGAATACCCAAGCAAGCTTCGTTCCTGGGAGACAAATTTCGGATAATATTGTCATTATGCAAGAAGTGCTTCATACCATGAGGAAAAAACAAGGGTCAACAGGTTACATGGCCATCAAAATAGATTTCGAAAAAGCATACGATAGGCTTCGTTGGACTTTCATACGAGACACTTTGCTCCAAATGAACTTCCCTTTAAACATGATCGAGGTTATCATGGATTGTATCACAACGGCCTCTTTACAAGTTCTATGGAATGGGGAACCTTCGAAGAGCTTTAAACCAAGTCGTGGCATCCGACAAGGAGACCTTTATCGCCATATTTATTTGTGATGTGTATGGAACGCTTCTATCAAATTATTGAGGAAGCAATTATCATGGGGAATTGGAAACCAATTCGTGCAGGTAGAGATGGGCCAACTCTTTCGAATTTATTTTTCGCAGATGATATTGTGCTGTTTGCGGAAGCAAGTGTTGAACAAGCCTCTCTTATTCGAGCATGCCTTGACAGATTTTGCAATGCATCAGGGCAAAAAGCGAGTCTTCCTTACTCCTCTAAGAATGTGGAGATGGATGTGCAAACAGAAATTGGCGAAAGCTTGGGAATGGAAATCACTTCAGACTTGGGCATGTACTTGGGGATGCCCACCCTTACAAGTAGAGTTACAAAGGACACCTTTGGACATCTATGTGAGAAAATAGATTGACGATTATCAGGCTGGAAATCGAAATACCTCTCCCTAGCAGGGCGTATCACTCTTGCAAAATCCACTCTTTCGACTGTGTCATACTATTCGATGCAAACGGCTAAAATCCCACGCTCAATTTGTGATAGTATTGACAAAAAAACAAGACGATTTGTGTGGGATGGCAATGAAGACAAGAAAAGGGTTCATCTGCTTTCTTGGGAGTGCTTACAAAGGCCGAAAGAATTTGGGGGAGTTGGTATATTTTCCGCAAGACAAGCAAACTCTGCTTTTCTGACTAAACTCGGTTGGAGAATGCTAAGTGATCCGAACTCTCTTTGGGCAAGGGTATTACGAGCAAAATATTGCAAAGGTCGTTGCGATTTAGATATGTTTGAGCCTAACGCGGGAAGTTCGAATGTTTGGAGCGGAATAAATGAGAATGCCAAACTTCTTGGTGAAGGGATTAGAATGGCAATTGGTAATGGGAACCGTACTCTTTTTTGGGATCACAAGGGGGCGATGGATAAGCCCTTAAGTGACATGGTTATTCAACCTTTGCCAATAGAGATTGCAGGTGCCACGGTACAAGAAATGTGGGAAGAGGGTCAAGGATGGAGATGGAATATCTTTGCCCCATTCTTGCCGCAAGAGGCACTCAAATTCATCCAAAATCACGAGGTGAGGGCTGACCCTAATGTGAGCAATTTAGTATATTGGAAGGATGGTTCTTCAGGGAAATTTTCAATCAAATCAGTCATGAGCATCATGAGACATGAAACTGATGTCTTAAATGATGAATGTTGGGAACTTATTTGGAAATCCCCTGCACAGCAAAGAGTAAGGGCCTTCCTTTGGCTCGCATGCCATGATAGAATCCTTGGTAATCTGAATATGTTCAAGAGGCAGCTTACGGATGATCCAAAGTGTTTTATTTGTGGAAGTGGCGATGAAGACACTTTGCACATTCTCAGGGACTGCCCTAATGCTAAACTAGTCTGGAAGAAGATCTTGCATCCTCGGTTTCATGGTAATTTCTTTAACCTTTCTTTAAAAGATTGGATATGCTATAATCTGGGAAATTCGAATGATATCAATATTGAAGGCTGGGGTATGATGTTTTGCATTGCCACTTGGTGGATTTGGCGATGGAGAAATTGTAGAGTGTTCAATCGAAGAGATGAAATTCCTATAGAGTTGGGAGCTTTCTTAAGAGTTAGATATGATGAGATGAAAAGAAGCCTCAACTCTAATAAGGAGAAGAAGCAAACTCACAATCAGAAAATGGAAATTAATGTACCTTGGCATTCTCCTTCCCCGGGTTGGTTTGTCCTAAATTGTGATGGAGCTGCTAAAGGGTGCCCTGGTCCAGCAGGAGGTGGTGCGATTATAAGGGACTGTGAAGGGCAGTTCATATCAGGTTTCTCAGCAAACTTTGGTTATTGCTCGGCTTTTCGTGCAGAGGTAATGGCCCTTACCAGGGGTCTTGAGTTAGCACAGAACCTGCAGATTAAGAAACTCGAAGTTCACCTAGATAATCAATCTTGTGTGAAACTGCTACAACAGGGAAATAGAGGCAGTGGTGAATGTGTGCATGACATAGATCATTGTCTAAGGCTACTCAAGGATTCAAGATGGGAGGTTCAAATGATACATATTTACAGGGAAGGAAACCGAGCGGCGGATTTGTTGGCCAACTGCGGCGTCTCTCAAGACTCTCAATTAATCATTATAAATTCTGTTCCGGAAGAGCTTGGGAAGATACTTCAAGAGGATGCTAGAGGGGTAGCAATGCCTCGACTAGTGCCTTCTTAGTGTTTAGTTTGTTTATTTTTTCTGTTCTGTTTCTTTTATTGTCTTTTTCTTTATCTCTTTGGATGTAATTTCCTCTTTTGGATCAAAAAAAAAAAACTCCAAAATTTTAGAAACTTTTTTCTCAAACAAATTAGCACGGCAAAGCTAATTTACTTTCCAAGCTAATCGTATTTTTTTTAGCTCCAATAATCAAGCTAATAGCTAGAGACTTTTGGAAATTGCAAGCAAGTCACAAATAATACCCCTTTGTTGCGAGTAATACGTAATGGGGGAAGTATTACTTATTTGAAAAAAAAAATTGCAAATTGCAGCCATTTAAAGTTTCTATTTTACAAGTTACAGCCTTTTAAAAAAAATTGCAAATTGCAGCCAAAAGTTCGTATAAATTGTAAATTACAGCCCGATTTAACTTTTTTTTTTTATCAATTTACATGTCAAGAAATCTTTGCTTAATGTTTTAGGGGTCATAATAGGTCTTAAGAATCCGAATTGAGCTCAGAATTAGCAAAAAAATATCGCAAGTGCCCAGTTTTCCATAAATCGATACATTTTTGTTACCCAAAACGAGGCACTTGCGATATTTTTTTGCTAATTCTGAGCTCGATTCGGACCCCTAAGAGTAAAATAGCTCGTAAAACCTTAATCAAAGACTTTCGACATATAAACCGATAAAAAAGTTAAATCAGGCTACAATTTATAATTTATACGGAATTTTGGGTTGTAATTTTTTTTAAATGACCAATTTACAAAATACGAAGTTTAAATGATTGTAATTTGTAATTTTTTCCTTGAAAAATATAACTTTACTTGAAAATAGGAATTTCCTTGTCTCTCCCTCCACTCTTAAGTGGCAGTTGAGTCCCAATCAAATTACTGCATTACACTTAAAAAAGCGGGAATAAATGAGAAAAACAAGTACGGAGAATTCATACCTCGCACCTTATTAGAAACCGTTCAAAGTTGACTTCAAAATCTCTGTCTTCCAATCCAGATTTCATTTTGAAGATGGAGAATGATACACAGAAACTAAAATCCCAAACCCTAACTTCTCTTCCAGACGACATAATCTTCCAGCAAATCTTATCAAGACTCCCAGTAAAACCCCTAATTCGCTTCAAATCCGTTTCCAAATCATGGCTTTCTTCAATTTCCACCCCACAATTCGCAAAATCCCATCAAAATTTCCACACTTCTCAATCTTCATCCCCTCAATTTCTTCTCTTTTCAGGCAATCCCGATTCTCACCCTCTATTCTCCTCGGTTACATTCGATCAACACGGCAGTGTCGAAGAAACCCTAAATTTCAATTGCCCCTACAATGGTGGTGATAAAGCTATCAATGTCATGGGTTGTTGCAACGGTTTGGTATGTTTTCATGACCAAAACTATAATTTCTATATCTGCAACCCTGCTACACAACAATGTAGATATATTAATGTTGTTGATTATCCTTTTAATTCCACTGATAATGTGATATCTGCTGGGTTTGGTTACGTTTCTTCGATTGATGATTACAAGATTGTTTGTTTAACCAAGAAATCGAATGGGATCTGTTTACTTCGGTTCAATGATTTGGTTAATACTAATGTTCATATGAGGACTGGTAAATGGGAAAAATCGTTGTCTGTATTAGACATTAATGACGTTATGATTGATCGAGAGGATGTGCCAGCTTTGGTAATGGTGTTCTGTACTGGGGTTCGAGTTCGGATGACGCTAATAGGCATATTATTGGAGTCGATTTAATCACTTGACTCCCGTCGCAATTGAGGATATGGTTAATACACTTGACCCTTATCAAAGGTTGGAATTATTTGGTATAAAAGGGAGTTTGTGCTTGTGTTATGGGCGTAAAGTGTTCAGATATGATTATTCGCCTAAGTTTTATGATCGTAAAGTTTGGAGATTGAACAAAGATGATTTGACTTGGACGAAAATGTATGATCTGAATTGCAATGATATGCGTTTGTTGGGTATTTCTGAGACTGGTAAATGGTTGGTGTTAAATGGTAAATTGCTTGCAATACTTGATCCGAGTAAAAGTTTTTATAGACAATATCAAGGTGGTACTCATTTTGATGGTCATGTTGTTAGCACTTGGGATTACAAGATGAGTTTGGTTTAAACTGTTCTTGAATAAGTATGAATGGACTAGTCTAATCTTTTGTGTACTTTTGTCCTTGGTTCAGGCAGCATTTCATGGCTAGGTGTTCCAACTTCCAATCAAGTGCTCTAATGGTAGTATTTACTCAGTTTTTGGAGTTTCAAAAAGAGGGATCTTTTACCAAAACGGCTAGTTTGACAAAAGTATTTACCAAAACGGCTAATTATAAAATTTAATTCCCAAACTAGCTAATTTATTAACTTGGAAGGAATTTATCCATTTCTTATTTCCTTTGAACCAGTTTGGTTCTTTTTTTAAAAAAAAAAAATTGGTTTATTTTTATTTCCTTAAAGATTTTTTTAAGTTGGAAAATTTAAGCAGTTTACAAAACTAAGAAGAATGTAAACAGTGGCAGACTCGCATATCCCTAATTTCGATCCAAAAAAATAAATAAATTAAAAGCCCTAATTTTTCATCTTGATCATATCAGTCACAAAAATTTGGAATTTCAATTATTATTGTTCTATCAATATTACCACAAATTTATACTACGATAAGGGAATTTAAGCTACTGTTTATCTTTTTCATGTCTATTAAATTAATTGTATACTCTTTGTTTATGTCGGCTAGTATGAATAATTTTTTTGTTTAATGTGTATGATAAATCAAACTTACATATATTTATTTCTATCTTTATGTGTTAAAAAAAAATAGTTGTATTTTTTTTTCATTTGTTGATTAAAAGTTTGGATCATTTTTTTTGAGTGGTTGTTTAAGTTGTGTAACTTTTTTAAAAATTGAGAATTGCTGCATATATATTATGTTGATTGTTATTGTTCAAATTAATGGGATATTTTAAACTATGGCATAAGAATTTAAATAAAACCAAAAAAAAAAAAAACTAATTCTTTTTAAATAAAACAAAAAAAAAATATAAAGTGAAGGATTCAAAGGAATATAAAAAATAAATAATATCCTTTCAAATCAATAAATTTAGCTAGTTTGAGAATTAAATTTTAAATTAGCCGTTTTGGTAAATACTTTTGTCAAAATATCCATTTTGGTAAAAGATCCCAAAAAGAGTATTGTTAATTAGTTAATTACTAGTTGTAATGTCTTTAAAAAATTACTCCATAGAAGATTTAAGGAATTATGGATTAGTGGTTGTTTTTATCTATAGGTAGTATTTTCTATAATATTCGGTTCTATGTATATGTAGAATTAAGATGTTTAGCTTGACAATGTTGAGATTATTTTGCTTTATGTTTTGCATGGTTGCATTGATGATTGATAAAAGATTATCTAAATACAACCGTAAAAGAAAAGTAACTACGAGTACAAAATAGTTATTTAAATACGACGGTAAAAGAAATATGAAGCAACTAATTAAATATGAAGGGAGTAACGGGGCGTTTGGCAAATGGGATTGGGAATTTGGGGAATATAGGGTGGGAATGGGAATTAATAAGTGGGAATTAATGAAATAATCCCAATCCCTTGTTTGACATTATTTGGAAATAAGATTGAGAAATTTTAAATCTTATATTTGGTATGTGGGAATAATAGAGGGATTAAAAGCAAAATTTACAAGATTGCCCTTATTATTATATCTATACTATATATTAAAAGGGGTTCCTAATCAAGGATACACGCCACGTGTCACCCCTCTCTTCCACTAAGAAGATGCCACATCACTAAGGAGAATTGATACATGTCAATTAAAAAATGTTTATATCATGAATAGAACTCGGGTCATTAGAAAATAAATAAGAAGGCATACCATCTTTACTATCTAACACTTTTATTTATTTATTCTTCTTAAATATACTTAATGTATGGCAAGATTTTTTTTTTTTTTTTTTTTTTTGTGCAAATTATTTTCTTCAACTAAATCTATAATAAAAGTATTTAAGATTATATTTTTCAAAAAAAAATAATTTAAGATTAGTATAATACATGAAAACTATAATACAAAGCAGATAATATTTAATGTATAGACCCGGGGCATCGCCCGAGCTATACACTAGTTGCATATTAAAACATATGCCACAAAACAGGGGTAGTATTGTTTTTTTTAACAATTTAGTGAATTCCCTCAAAATATTACCTTCTCCCCCCAAGTAATAAAATGGAAAATTTGCAAATTGCAGCCATTTAAAGTTCGTATTTTGCAAATTGCAGCCATTTATTTATTTTTTTTTTGCAAATTGCAGCCCAAAAGTTTGTATAAATTGTAAATTGCAGCCTGATTCAATTTTTTCATTGGTTTACATGTTGAAAAATCTTCGATTAAGGTTTTAGGGGTCATTTTAGCCCTTAAGACCCGAATTGAGCTCGAAATTAGCAAAAAAATAACGTAAATATATCATATTTACAGTTTCCCACAAATCGATACATTTTTGTTACGCAAAACGAGATACTTGCGTTATTTTTTTGCTAAATCCGAGCTCAATTCGGTTTCATAAGGACTACAATGACCCTTAAAACCTTAATCGAAGATTTTCCAACTTGTAAATCGATTAAAAAGTTGAATCGGGCTGCAATTTACAATTTATATGAACTTTTGGGCTGCAATTTGCAAAAAAAAATTTAAATGGCTGCAATTTGCAAAATACGAACTTTAAATGGCTGCAATTTGCAAATTTTTTTAATAAAATGTAGGGAATACAACCTAAATATTTCCAAGCCCATTCCCATTTTTTTTAAAATTCCCACCAACCAAACATGGGTTTACAAAGATTAGGGATTAATATTCCCATTCCCACCCCTATTCCCATTTACCAAACACCCCCTAATAAGCTAAAAACTTACTTTGACTCAACTAGTAATATAATTTACAATATGACCATCAAAAGTAAACCAAAATAAAACACATTTTACCGAAAACTTGAGCTAGTATACCCATAACATGATCCAATTCTAATTACCCTCTCACATTGATGGAAGGAGCAAGGTGGACCTTTAACCATTACGTCAACCTTGATTCTGATCAAGGTTAGATTATTCCTTACGTAATTAGGTGATTGAACAGATACTCTTCAATCTGATCCGATCCATTTTTTCGGGTTGAACCTGTTTTTGAACACCATAAAAACGGACCATTGTTCATGGTGCGAATCAAGCAATAACGAGTTCAAGCGATCCGTGCGTGGTCAAGTGGGAAACCTAACAAATCGACCCAAATCCAAAATTCTATTTGCGCGGCAAACGACGGCTTCCCTTTCTCATTTCACCGGTCACAAAATTCAAACTTTTAGAGAGAGAATTAGAGAGCTCAATAGAAATATTCACTAGCAAATTTCAGAATTATCACCAACTTTCGCAATTTTTAGGGTTTGTAAGTGTCTAATCTGCAATCTTTCTCTCTTTTACCTTCTTGAATTTCGTCAATACTCTCTATACATTTGCAGTTTTGCTGTCAATTTCCTAACATTCCCAAATGAATTTTTATGTTTTTATTGGGATTTAGCTCAATTAATAATCAATCAAATGCGAATTGAGATTTCCTTTTTTTGACTAGTTATGTTTGTGTATTAATTAATTGGCTAGGGTTTCGCTTAATGTTGATTTTTATGGTTTTTTCGTTTTCAATCATGTAATGTATTACGGGATTTGAATGTACTCAGTATGTAGTGATTTGCGATTTCTATTTCGTTGTTCATATAGTGAAGTAACCTAAATTAGTAAATGTATAGAATATGAAGTATGTTGTCTTTAAATTACGAAGAATCAAGGACAAACAAAGTAGAAATGAAGGAGAATGTGATAAAATGCCTATAATTTATTCGGAATTTGAGAGAGAATAGGTAGGAATTGAGATGAGTATCAATGTTGGCAACAATTCTTTGTAACAATTTACATTTAACACCCAAGCTTAGAGTAACTGGATTTTTTTGAAAATGGAGAAGTTATTGACTATTGCAATGCTTAACAGCTTGCGTCGCTAGCATAAAATGAGACCGCAATCTGCAGACCAGTTGCCAGCTCCTGTTTATTTCTTAGTTGCTGAAACATTCGCTGTAGGGTGTATCTTGATACTCATGAGTTTCTGGGGTTCCTAATGTTGCATTTTGTTAGGGCATTATTGTGTTGTGGATGGAAATGTTGATTTGATTAATCCAATTGTTGCCAAGTTTACTGACATGGGTTCTGAAAGTTCGTGAATTATAAGTTGTGGGTTTATCTTTGAATGATGTAATTGAACACATGTTCACAAATTCTTTTGCAGGAGTGGTGAATCAAGTTGTTTAAACTGCTCTACAATGGGCAAGAATGCCAGACCTCCGCGCAAAAGAGACATCTCTTCACTGCATCCATTTGGTCACTTGAGACAGTCTAGCATACTGGACCATCTTCAACCCATGGGAAAATCGAAAAAGAGGCAAACTGACAATGTTCCCGAGGCAACTACTTCTGGAGCCAGGCATCCTGAAGGACAGCCTGAAGTGCAGAGGCCTCATATTGAAGAGATGTCTGAAAAAAGTCATACACTTGAATTATCTGAACCATCATACTGTTTGCCTCCAGTTCAGAAAAGAGAAGAGGATGCAGAAGTCGGACCTGATTGGGATCAGAAAGCCAATAGCTTGCTGCGAAAACATTGTGGGTACTCCGGGTTGAAAAGTTTTCAAAAGGAAGCTCTTGGTGCTTGGTTTGCCCATCAAGATTGTCTTGTTTTAGCAGCAACAGGGTCTGGTATTAATTTTTCTGCATCTTATGTGTTTCCATTGTGTAGACTTTGTGCATATTGCGTCTAATGTTTATGCTTCTGATATCTATTATGTTTCTGCAGGGAAGTCTCTGTGCTTTCAGATACCTGCACTTTTGACAGGGAAGGTTGTGGTTGTGATTTCTCCATTGATAAGCTTGATGCATGACCAGTGCTTAAAGCTAGCAAAACATGGGATCTCTGCATGTTTCCTTGGATCGGGACAACCAGATAACAGCGTTGAGAAGAAAGCAATGAATGGCATGTATTCCATCATATATGTTTGCCCTGAGACATTGTTAAGGTAAATCAATATACATCATCTGGCGGTGCCTTTCATTTAAGTGTTTCTTAATGCCTTTCTAGTATCACTTGGGAGCATATCATGTCAGCTTATAAGGTCTATACTGCAGATTAATAAGTCCACTTCAGAGGCTTGCAAAGAATCGTGGAATAGCTTTATTTGCCATTGATGAAGTACATTGTGTTTCAAAATGGGGACATGATTTTAGACCTGATTACAGGTTTGATTCTTGCTTACCCTGGATGCGCTTTTATGATTTATGTTCATCAGCTTTCTTTTTCATGATGCATAGTTTTATTACATTGCTATTTTTTACATACACAATTAAAAAAAAAAAAGAAAAGAAAAATAAAAGCTTGTATGTTGAGATTCAAGTTAAAATTTCAATGTTCTGCTGTTAACCCTCCATGCTAGCTAAATCTCATTAGTTGCTGAAGTGCTCCCATATGAATGAGGTCTAAGTCTTAGCTGTATTTGCAAATATAATGGTTTTGAATGTGAATTAAACTGCAAATGGTAGCAACTTAAAATAGTTCCTGCTGAGAGTAGGATCGGGGCATTATGGCCAACATTTTCCTTTTTTACTATGGATAAAGATGTATAGGGTTGTTGGCAAGAAAGAACTATCACCTGTTTTTAACCTAAAAACTTCTCCTGTCTGAAAATCATACTTATATTCCATTTGACATGGGTGGCTTACCTTTACCATAAATTTGTCTATAATAATATTGATTTACGATGTGTATTAGATTTTCATAATCATCTCTATTTCTCAGCTTCTCAAGTAGTTTTCATTTTAACACTTCTACTCTTTGTTCCTTATATTGCTACATGAGTTTTGGGTGCAGTGTTTT